GTAGAGACAGGAGAATTGGCACAAGTCTGAGGCCAGCCTGGTCTACATAGTGAGGTCATGTCTTAAAATAACAAAAAAACAAAGCAAAACAATAACAACAAAACTCCCGCAACAAACCCCAAAACAAATAAAAAGAGAATTTACACTAAGGAAACTTGTGCTGAGTTCCAACTGGCCCCAAAATCCACCCAGAAAACCCAGTAGCTAGAGGTCGCAAGAAGAAGAAGAAGAAGAAGAAGAAGAAGAAGAAGAAGAAAAACAATGGAGGGGGACTTTGGGAGATGACTCTGAGTAAAGGTATTTGCTGCTAAGTTGGTGGATCTAGTTCAATTCCCAGCCCCACAAGATAGAAGATGAGACCCATTTCCCACAAGTTGCCTTCTGACCTCTACATGCAGACTGTAGCAAGGCATGCCCCACCCTCCATCCCACAAAATAAATAAAGGGACTGGTGAGATGACTCAGTGGATGAGGTGCTTGGCAAGCAACCATGAGGACTGGATCAGTAGTGTGGTTTATTTCAGTGTAAGACACACTCATAGAGCACTCCACTTTCTCTAAATGACGCTTAAGAGGGCAAGTTATAGGGGGCTGGAGAGATGTCTCAGAGGTTAAGAGCACTGACTGCTCTTCCAGAGGTCCTGAGTTCAATTCCCAGCAACCACATGGTGGCTTACAACCATCTGTTATAAGATCTGGTGCCCTCTTCTGGTGTGCAGATATACATGGAAGCAGAATGTTGTATATATAATAAATAAATAAAATCTTAAAAAGAAAAAAAAAGAGGTTATTTTTTTAAAAAAAAAAGAGGGCAAGTTATAGATTTGCTGACATGGCTCAGCAAGATCAGGCATTTGCCACAAGCTGATGACCTGAGTTTGGTTTCTGAGCCCATATAAGGGAGGACAGAACCAACTCCCACAAGTTATCTTCTGAATATATGCCCCCGACACATACATAAATAAACAAATGTAATGATAAAACACATTTTTAAAGAGGAAAGGTTACTTGGAAATTATCTTATTGCTTAGTGGGGTAACACCATTCCAAAACTAAATGCAGTTATGAAAGTCATATACCCAAGTTTGAAAGAGGAGAAAGAACTGTTATTTGTATGGTTTGGCGCATAGAACCCATTCTGATATGCTGGCCTGTGGCATGTTGGTAACCTGCTTAGACTTTAGGCTGAGTCTGTTACTGGTGTAGACGGTAGTTGAGAGAGCATATTCAGAAAATGTATCTTCTTCTTGGCTTCCCAGAGACCAAGAATTGGATTGAGTTAGTCTAATGCTAGTTAATTCATGAAGCCAGTCTCCAGCTATTTATTGAACACGTGTTGTATGTGCCAATCTAGCCTGTTCATCAAAGGTACTGCAAAAATGCAAGTCTTATACTAGATTGCTAAACAGGTGAGGATAGCCTCCAAGCCTCAGGCCCATTCCTCAGACCTCATTTTTCTTTCTTTTGTTTTTTGTCTTGTTTTTTCAAAGGTCTCACTATGTATCTCTGGTTGTCCTGAAACTCACTAGTAATCTAGGCTGACCTCAAACTCACAGAGATCTACCTGCCTCTGCCTACCAAGTGCTAGTATTAAAGGTGTGTGCCACTATGCCCAGCTCCCTGGCCTGATTTATTCTAATACACCCATCTTTTGTTTGCAAAAGTGCAGGTCATGTATGAGATGTATAAGATACAGAAGGTGGGGGCTGGAGAGATGGTTCAGCAGTTATGGCCACTTGATTGCTCTTCTAGAGGATCCAGGTGCAATTCCCAGCACCCACATGGCAGTTCACAACTGTCTGTAACTCCAGTTTCAGGGGACCCAACACCCATGGCAAAACACTAATGCACATAAAATTAAAAAATAAAAAGATACAGAAGGTGTTCCAAATAATTATATCCTCATGAGAAAGCAAGGTGCCTCTCCAGTTTGCTCTCCAGCTTGGATTACATCTAGAAAACATCACTTTCAGGTTTGATGCACTATTACCAGATGCCAACATTTACTTCATTTTAAATCAGAAAATGTTTACTTCCGGTATCAGTAATTATTTAGAATTTAACAACTGTTTTTTTCCCTCTGGAATTATGTTCTGATTATGAAAAAATGACACAGATAGATAACGTACATTTCCCTTTGTACTTGAATGTCCTTAAGTTTTTAAAATATCCAGTAAACAATAATATGTATTAGGTGAGGCAGGGACATATCCCAGTGGTGGAGTGCTTGACTAGCATGAATGAGACCCTAAGTTCAACCCTTAGCACAGCAAAAACAATAATATATTATTAAAAATTAGTAATATGGGACTGGGGAGACAGCTCAGCAGGTAAATGGGCATGCCACATAAGCCTGGCAACCTGAATTTGACCCCAGAACCCACTCAGAAAGTTGGATTTGGAGGGGAGGGGTCAGCAAGATGTCTCAGTGAGTAAAGGTGCTTGCTCAAGCCTGACAACCTGAGCTCCATCCCCAGAACCACATGGTGGAAGGAGAGAAACAACTCCCATAAACTGCTCTCTGACCTCTGCGTGTGCACCATAGCCCCCTCGAGAACACATACACCACCACTTCTACACACAAACAAATGCAACAACAGAAAGCCAGATGTGGTGGCACACATCTGTAATCAGCCAGAACCTCTTGAACGAACTAGCCTGGAGTGTGAAACACAAAGAGACACTACGGTGGTAAATGAGAACCAACTCCCAAAGTTGTTCTCTGATCATGTCCACATTCACATCCACACAAACCAAATTGATGGTGATGATGATGACAATGACGACGATGATGATGGAGATATGACTGAAGTCCTTATACCAGGTTTAGTAAACATTTCTTTTCCTCATTCCTGCCCACACAATATTAGTGCTTGTGACCAATTCCTGTCCTGTTTGACCTGAACTGATTCAGGATCATGACAGTGAGTAATAATGGATAGGAATAATATTTCTCCCTAAAGAGATTACAGTGGACAGGGCTTTTGAATATTGAACCTAATAAGAATCTTTTAATGGTGGGACATTTTTTTAAAAGATAAGTAGGACAAGCAATTGTAGAGGATGAACCTATTATAACAATGATGCTATGAAACCTGCCACTTATTTGAACTTTCTGAGTATGTTCTCCTATAACAACCCTATGGGACATTTTCCAGATGAGAAAATGGAAACTCAGGGAGCTTTGCTCTGGGTAATCTGCATATGTCTATGTAGGTTAGAGATCCACACTGGGTGACTTCCTTTAACACTTGTCACCCCCCCCTTTTTTTTTCTGGCTGGCCACAGAGCCCCAGGCATGACCCTGTCTCTGCTCCTCAGTACTGGGATTCCAGGCACTGCCTGTCTGATGTGGGTACTGTGGATCACAGTCACTCATGTCCCCCTTGCTTGGCAAGAATCTTACCAACTGAGCCATCTCCTCAGCCCCTCAGAAAAGGTGGGGTTTTTTGTTTGTTTTATGTGTGTTTTTTAAAAACCAATAACTTACATTTGGTCATTCGATCAATGAGGACCAGAGCCAAGATTTTCCCACATCACCTTCTCCCTCTGGCACTCATAACCTCTGCTTCATGGTCATCTACCTGTTTCCTCTAAGTGTGGGGCAAAGCCTGGAGAACTCGCATGAGGAATCCCAGAAAGCGTGTGAATAAGCAGAGTACGATAAAGTACAGTGAGACTGAAAAATTGCAGATTAGATGAGCCCAGGAATTTAGAGAAAGTGAGGACTCTACCGCATGAATGGCAGTCACCTAGAAGCACCCATCTCTCCGTCCTGCCATGTCCCACAGATGTTCATAAGGCCAGGGTGGCCAGTGTCTCCCACTAGACCCCAGAACTGAGGGGGGAGCAGGGACTCTTGCTGTATCATTTTTGTGTCTGAAAGTGTCCTAAGTGGGGGATACTGAGCTGCTGTCTTCAGGGCGTGTAAAGTCAGGCAGAACAGGAGATGAGGCCCCTGGAGAGCTCCTGTCAGCACTGTCACTACTCCAACAAACCTCTTCTTCTTCTTCTTCTTCTTCTTCTTCTTCTTCTTCTTCTTCTTCTTCTTCTTCTTCTTCTTCTTCTTCTTCTTCCTTCTTCCTTCCTTCTTTTTCTTATTTATTTATTTAATGTGCACTGGAGTTTTGCATGCATGTATGTCTGTGAGGGTATAAGAGCCCCTGGAATTGGAGTTACAGACAGTTGTAAACTGCCATGTGGGTGCTTGGAATTGAACTGGGGTCCTCTGAAAGAGCAGCCAGTACCCTTAAGTGATGAGTCATCTCTCCAGCCCCCTCCAACAGTCTTCCTAACCCGTAGACATAGGCCAGCCATGCTCTTAACCAAGAGTGTATACACACACTCCCACTCTTGCTCAGAGGGCTAAGTGCTTGCTGGGGCAGCATAAGGACCTGAGTTTGTATTTCCAGCACCTACATATCAAGTCAAGTGCAGCAGCCCATGAATGTCTATAACCACAGCACTGTAGGATGGGCAGGAGACAGGCAAATTCTGGGAGCTTGTTTGGCATAAATGACAACTCCAGGTTCAATGAGAGACTATGCCTCAAAAAATATGGTGGGTAGTAATAGAGGAAGGTACCCAAAACTTAGCTCTAGACTCCATACACACCCATACTCATGTGAAGACACACCTGCATATCATGTGTATAACACACACACACCTAAGAAGATGGATAGGAAAACTGTTAACAGGTAGTGAGATGGTTTAATTAGTGGAGGTGCTTGCTGCTAAGGCTGACAACCTTTCACCACATGGTGAAAGGAGAAAACTGACTCCTAGGGAGGAAGGGAAGAAGGTAGATAGATAGAGAGTGCGGTGGGAGGGAGACAAACAGTGGATAACACAGCACAGGCCCAGAAAGGAATATACAAGGTTTTGGCTCTTTTCTTCCCTCCCCTGAGTCTGGGAAGAGATCCACCTGGAAGACTGGCACAGTAAGTCAGGCATGAAGAGTGCTGTGGCCACCTGGGGGCAGTGCAGTCTTGTGGATAAGTTTCACAGCAGAGTGTGGGGACCCCGATTCTATGTCAGTTCTGCCAGTTTCTTTCCCTTTCTCTTCAAGTGAGCTCATGGTCTGAGTTCACCCTTGTCTCAGTCCTCACTGGGTTGTTGCCGGAGGAACTGGAATCTGAGGCCTGGGTGAGGCTTACTCACACGGAAGACTGCACATCCATATGCACACACCCTGGAATGTGTCAAGGCTCCAATTTAAGAGGCAGACTTGAATAAGGCTGGAGGCATCTTTGGGCCAGCACACACTGATTTAAAGGTAAGAGTGAAGGCTGGTGTTAAACACCGTCAACAAATGCCCCATTTTCTTAGTTTTCTAACTGCTCTTGGCTCTTCATGAACAATGGATAGAAAAAAATCTTGGCCCCCTTTCAGAAGCTTTTAATTATTTAGGGAGACAGTCTGAGTCAGTGCCTGCTGTCCTTAGTGCTCCATTCCCAGTGGTTACACCAAGACTCTTCTCTAGGTCTGTCTGAGCCATGAGGCCTGGGGTGGAGGCTCCCAACAGCAATGCCTTCACTGGCCTTTCCGAGTACACAGGCACCCCATTCAATGCCATGTGACCCCAGAGGTCTGTGAAAGGGCTGCTGCCCTGGGACTTAGCCTCACAAGGACACACCTTTCTCCAGCACCATCTCATAGCCCAGCACGGGAAATTCTTTCTTCACTGCATTCCTTTAACCTTAAGAGCCCTTCTTTCCCTTAGTCAAAAACAGTTTCCAGTTCTAACACCCTGGGATGATTTTTAGAAACAAAAGTCCTGCTGATTTCTTTTCTTTTTTTTTCTTTCTTTTCTGGAATGGCTGCTTGTTGTTCTCTGGATGTAGCAAGTATTCTGAGGTTTCCATGCCCCTTCTCATGTGGTCACTTCATCTGAAATACACTTCCTGTCTCTGCCCAATGAACTCGTCACTCATCTTTGCATCCAAAATGAAATTTCATCCAGCCAAGCATAGTGGTACACACCTGCAATTCCAGTACTTAGGAAATAGAGGAAGGATGATCAAAGCCAGCTGTATGGCAAGTTCAAGGCCAGCCTGGATTCAAAAACCCCCAAACAAACAAAAACTTTCTCTTATAGTTCCCTCAATATGTTCCCCTTGAAGCTCGTTGACATCTCTCATGTTTCCTTTCCTATTTCATGTAGCTGAGCTTTTTATATGTGTCTCCTCCCCATTAGATGATCAATTCAGTGTAGGGATTAAAAACTCAGGAAAGAGCTAGTCTCCAGTTTACTTTTGCCTCATTATCTAAGCCTGTGACTTCATCTGTCTTTTTAGCTGTAGTTCTTAGCATAACACTGGGCACACCGGAAGTTCAGTGTTCAGCCCTGTTGGCTATGATCAAAACTGGAAGACATCAGGCAAAATGTGGTTGTTCTCCTTATCATTTATAGTCCTTCTGGCCATATGAATCCCATCCCAGTTTCATCTGGCTTTCTAGTGTCAGCTCTCCCTCCTCACCCTCTGCTCACACCCCTCCCTGTTGAGCATGTTCCTCAACCTGCTGCTCCGTGGGTGACATTTTAGACCCTGAGCCGTGGGTGACATTTTAGACCCTGAGCCGGCAGCATTGATGGGACACTTTCCTAGCACTTACACTATGGTTAGAGCATGAGACCAAAACAACTAAACAAGGTAATTTCAACAACTACGAGTTCTAGGAAGGAAGGGAGATTGCATGATACAGAGAAGGACGGAATCTTGGAGGCAAGGGTCCAGCTATATGGGAATATGCTAAGAAAGGCTTCCTTGCAGAGGGGTGAACAGGGACACTGGCCCTGAATAAGAACAACTGACTGACAATGGAAACCTGCAACTACATAGAGATTGCTTGGGTGTTTTCCTTATCTTTCCATCATCCCTTCGTGGTGCCCTTAGTAGCTTTGACCCCTTCTGGGAAATGGCTGATCCTTCACCTTCTCACTGCTCCAATCACAGTTTTCTTTGAATGAATCTCATTGGTCGTCCAACAAGTACCTGATCCCTTAATCTGATCTTGGTGACTGGAGAGCCAATTTATGGGGTTGGATCTTTGTATGGTCCTTTATTAAGATAATACCTCCTTCCCTAATTTCTTCAAGAAGGTCTGGGCTCTGCTCTCTTCAGGAAAGGGCCATGTCACACTAGGAATCAGATGGACATCTAGCTGGAGCATGGAGAGGGAAAAAGCCTGCCCCCTATTTTGACACTCGCAGGTGACTGAGCCAGGTGCTCACCTCTGTGAATCCCAGATGTATCTCCCCACATGGATAATTTCTTACCCCCCTTTCTGTACCCCACATAGTGCTGTCCAGTGGGCTCTTACACCCAGCTGGTGAGAGATCTTAGATGCCCAAGTGGTTGTTTAAAGGGGCTAAAGAGCATCCTGGTGCTGGAGACATGAAAAGCTTTCAGTAAGCCAGGAGCCCATATCGAAACCATATGGTTTGCTTTACAGTAAAGATCACAGAGCCTGAAAAATATAAGAAAGGAGGGCCAGCCAGGGGACACACTCTTTGGAGTGAAGATCCTGGCATGCCTGTATTTACGAACAGTGCAGGCCTCCTACCCCACGGGTTCCCTGTCCTTAGATTCCTATTACACCCTTGGGCCAGCTGGACTCTCCTGAGGCCCCGACTAGTGGAAGGTTCAAACAATAAAGGCTGAAAGGATGAGACTGACTGTTCTCTGAAACATCACGCTCCCCTACGTCTTCCTGGTCAGATGCCGCCCCACCCCTGCCACACACAATGCCTTTCTTATTTAATAAACTGACAAACCCCAGAAATAATATGCAATCAGTCCCTTACTTGCTTTTCTACTGTGTAGAATAAAACTCAGGCATAGAAAGCACTTTTATCCATTGAGCCTCTCTGCCTGGGGACTTTAAATGCCAGTGCTTATGTTAGAACTAGCGAGTTCCCGTCTTTACTGACAAGGAAGCAAAGATAGTCTTTAGGCACATTGGTTGGAGTAAGGCACAGTACGCCAGGTCTACAGAGGCCTTTCTGCCTCACCCACCTACACCCATCCATCTGCTACACTGGCTCCAAGCAAAAGGTAGCGTTTGTGGGAACAGATCCATGTCCTCGTGCTCAAACAGAAGACCAGGCGATGTTTTTGTTCTAAAGACTGATTTCCTGCCCACTCTGCCTCATCTTTATCAGATCCGACCAATGAGCCATCCTAGCAATGTTGAGACATGAAATAATATCTAGCCCCCACATGCACAAAACATAATGCTTGAATGACAAGGGAACTATGAACCTAAGTTCCTGGAGTCACATTTACATTGAACATTCTACAACAACAGCTGATTGGCTGACTAGAACTTCTGTGATTGTGGAGTGACTGGAATGTCCCGAGTCCAGAGCCAAACATCTTAGCTGTGTATTGCCCACCTCTGTGTGTGACCTAACATCTGTGTCACTATTGGGTAAATCCTTTTGAACTGTACAAACAGGTGCTCAGAGTCCACCAACTCAAAAGCTAAGAATGTCCTCAGACACCATCTGAGGCTGACAGCGCAGGAGATGGTGCTCTGCTGTAACACACCTGCCTGCTGTTCCCACCAATGTCTTTAAAAACTGTCTTCATTTATAACTTTCTCTGTTTTGTTACTATAAAACCTTCATGAAATTGTTACCTTATTGTAACATATGTGTTTGGGGGTGGGGTGGGGTGATATAAACCTGTGTTCCCAGGCCATAGTCACTCATATTCTGTTTCTGATAAACTCTCTCTTGACTCCTATGAGGTGAATGAATACTGTGTTTGGTTTTGAAAATGTCAGCTTTAAGCAGGAAAGTCCCACACAGGTTCACGAGTTGAATGTTTGGTCCCTAGCCCAGTGGTATTACTTTGGAAGTTCCAGTGTTTAAGTTAGTGGGGCCTAGTTGGAAGAAGGGAGTCACTGGGTCCTTTGATAATTGTGCCTGCTGCCAGCACCTTCTTTCCCTGACTTTCTGCGCTTCTGCTACCATGCTGTTCTATTGGTGGCTTATAAGGGCCAGCCTTAAAAACCCTTTCAGGGTCCAAAGGAGACATTACAATAAGTGAAGGAACTAAGATCTGAGGGCTAAGGACAAGAATCTGCTCACAACATGTTCTGTCTATCCATCTCTTCATTGTTCTACAAAAAAAAAAAATCTTCTACAGTGAGGGTACTGGTATAAATACACTTACAACAGTAATTCTTCTGGCAATGCAATGTGAGGCTTGAGTTTCTCAGGGTCACCAAGGCAGATAAGAGTCACACACAGAGAATAACTGTCAGCTATCATTTATGGCACCGGGTAAGAGTGATTAATGAAGGCTCCTCCAGGGATTAAGTCAACAAGGGAGTCTAAATGGGAGAAATTGTGTGCTTATCTACATTCTTTAAGTGTGGCTAAAAATCTATTGCTTAAGGTTATAGAACAAAGAGAGGATTTAAGCTTAACTTGCACAAGAAACGGAACCTGGCACCTCCCAGCCACTCTGACTGTGGAGGTGCAGATGTTCAGCAGGTCTGTAGATAGTTTACTTCTCCTCTGAAGATGAGCAAACTCACTATTTTCTCAGGGTTAACACAAGCAATAAATCTCCAAGCTAAAATCTTGGGTTAATAAATCGAGATGAAGGTAAGTGCAAGGAGTTAGTGTGAGGTTAGTTTAGGCTATCACTTCTCTTACCTGCAATCGAGGTAAAACCAAGGCATGCTTATTTCTATCTAAGTGACTATGAATCAATACTTTTAGGCATGTAGTAATTCTATGTCCTTGAAATACTTTGCCTGGACACTTAGCACTGACCAAACGCCTGCCAATGAAGATATTTGCAGGAAGGCAGATCTCTGCGTTTACATTGGAGAAAGGAACAAAGACCTGGTTGTGGGAAGCAGGTTTTTTTTGACTGTGTGACTGTTTTCACACATAACTAGGGGGTGTTATCAATATACCTCAAATGCATAGGGGAAAATGTGCCCAATAAATGATCAAATAGTAATAAACTGTGGAAATAAATCCAAAATTTGTAACAGATGGAAACAAACTACAGCAAGAAAGCCAGTTCATTCAAAAGGCAATTAACTCCAACACAGCTTACATCTTGGTTTAATCCTCCAACAGAATCTTTCATTCTGATGGGTTGACCTTATAAAATGATGGCTGAATAGTTACTGCATAATCCTGTGGCTCATAAATGTTCTGTTTCCATGAGGTCAGAACAGTGGAGATAAGTACTTCAAACGGAATCCTTTGAAACCATGAGTCAAAGTAAAGAATTCTTCCCTTTAATTTATGTCTGGTATTCTGTCATAGTGACACAAGAGTAACTCTCAGAAAGGCCGGGGTCTCAGCATCTCAGAGATAACAATCTAATCCTAAAATTGTAAGCAATCCTACAATTAAAAGTTTTATTTTATCAGAGTTGCCTTGGTCATGGTGTCCCTTCACAGCAATAGAACAGTAACTATGACCCTCAGGATATTTTATTAGAGTAGCAGCAGAAATCAAACAAGGACACAGGGGAAGTACGAAATGTTTTGGGTCAAAAAGAAAAAGAGAAAACAACAAACACAGGGTTCCTTCACTTTCTCATACATGTTTTAAGAAGGAAAATAAAGTATCTAATTAAGAGACTATTCCTTGTGCTGAATAGTCAACTTACTACAAGCTAGGGTTACTTTAGAAGAAGGAACAGCAATGGAGGAAATTCCTCCATCAGATTGGCCTGTAGGTAAGCCTATAAGGCATTTTCTTGATCAATCATATTTGTGACAGGATCCAACTCACTCTGCTGGACAGTGCTACCCTGAGTTTTATAAGAAAGCAAATTAAGCAAGTCATGGGAACAAGCCAGTAAGCAGCACTCCTCCATGGCTTCTGCTCCAGTTCCTGCCTCCTGGTTCCTGCCTTTGAGTTCCTACCCTGACTTCCTTCATGATGGACTGTAAGCTGTAAGATGAAATAAACCCTTTTCTCCCCAAGTTGCTTCCAGTCATGATGTTTATCCTTGCAAAAGAAAGCCAATTAGGGTATTCCCGCTAGAGTATGTGACTTGTATGTGGGACTTTGTCTCAAGTCTCCCCAAAGTTGCAAGATTGGAGTTACCATAATATCCCAAGATCAAGACAAGACCTGTGTGCTTCCTACCTCCACTGACTTGCTCTGCTATATAATATGATCAGAAAGGGGGCAAACTCCTGATGTCCTTTGGTTCCAAACAGGTTCTTTAATTCTGTTCAACAAAAACATGGGCCTAGTTCTAGAAGCTTCAACTCTTGCAGGCAATTTAGAAAAGCTGGAGCCAATCTTTATTTATCTCCCAATGTTATATCTCAGCTTTAAGAACTACCCACTAAACCCAAGGGCTGGTTTTTAGAATAAGTTTAATCCTACAATATCATGGTTTTTTGTTTGTTTGTTTTGTTTTTCTGAGATGGGATTTCTCTGTATAACAACCCTGGCTGTCCTGGGCTTTACTTTATAGACCAGGCTAGCCTCAAATTCAGAGACCTGCCAGGCTCTGCCGAGTGCTGGATTAAAGGCGTGTGCCACCACCACCCAGCTATAGTTCATTCTTATCAGCTGCTGCAACAGGAACAAATTCTAGATAAACTCCTGCTATGATCCGAATACAGTTTGCCTGCATCAAATTTCATGTTGTGATTTCCTAATAGTGTAACATAATAGTGTTGGATTCTCCTGCAAGAAGGCATTACTGTAGTTCTCATGAGAATAGTGAAATCATCCCACTCAAGTTACAAGCCCTGCCACAGCTTCCTAAATAGCTGGAACTACAGGGTTGAGCGACCTCTCTATCATAAGATGAGACTGGTACTGTCCCATTTCACCATGCTCCTGCACACAGGCTCACTTCTCCTAGAAGTTTTCTGGCACAACACCCTCACTGAAGCTTTCTTCATACTTTCACTTTTCCAGTCCCATAAGCTAAAATACACCTTTTTCTTTACAGATAACGCAGTTGAAGGTATTGTATTGTAATACCATACAGATAACTCAGTTTAAAGTAAAGCATTGTAATAACTAAACTAGACAGCAATTTCCAGAAGGTGGCTAGGTTGGCAGGACTGTTTTTGACAAGGCTAAAAATAACGTACACTTTTATGCTTTATAGATGTAATACCTTCCTTCCTTTCCCAGCATGTAGCTGGGTAGACCTTACCATTTCAAAGCATGACACTAATACTATTTGTGTGTGTTTGAATGTGATCATTGCTCTGATATGTGAAGTGAGACAAACTTAAACGGGATTAATGCTTTCACTATAACTAGGGTTACAATGCTGACTTTCTTTCAGTGAGATTGGCTGCAAGAGAGGGGGACAAGGAAATCATGGCACTCCTCCCTCGGGCTCATATTATAATTGTGGGATTTTCCTCTTCCCAGCTAGAATCTTCCTTTGTTACCATACAACATACAAGAGCACTTCCAGGTCTGGAGACACAAGTGACAAATCACCTCCTTGCTAGGTGTCCACCCAGACACAAGTAAGCATGCCTGCAAGGCATTTGCTCCCCTCCCCCTCAGCAGGGTTTGGTTGGGGCTACAGCATCCCGACAACCTATTTAAACCAACTTGCAGGAACTGGCATCAAAGTACCATTTCCCACCAGGCTTGAGCCTCTGCAGCCTCGGAAGAGGGAGTCTTTAGCCGAAACATTCAGGAGCCGGGGATCCCAGAAGGTACATACTAAATTCCATCCAGATGTTGAGTTTGATTTTGTATTTTTTTCTTCTCCTCCTCCTCCTCCTCTTTTGTTCAATTCAGAGAGCAAACAAGTTGTGATGGGGAATGTACTACTGTGTATGTTTATCTTATTGATTATTGAATAAAATACTGGTTGGCCAATGAGACAGCAAGTTAGGCAGGACTAGGAGTCAAAGAGGATTCTGGGAAATGTAGTTGAGAAGTGGTGATCCAGGCAGGAGGTGACATAGCAAGGAGACTCATATTTAAGCAAGGAGAAACAGGAAGTATCTCCTTTTCCCCTTTGCCTCCTCCAGCAGTGCAATGTGATCCACCAGCAAGGAGGCCAATGGAAGGTGTCCGATAAGTCTTATAAAATATATAGATTTATGATAATTAAGACTGAGCTAACAGATGAGAATCCTAGTCATTGGCCAGGCAACATTTGTACCTAATAGAAGTCTGTGTATTATTTTGTCCATCCACGCTGGGAACTCCGGTGGCTGGTGGAGACCACCCACGTGGCAGTAGAACTTGGGCGGCTTTTGGCGGAAAGATTTATCATAACAAAGTTGTTTTTCATCTCATCAAAGGATATGTGGAGAGCATTGCTTCCTTCTCTTCTGGGTAAAAACATCTGGGCCAAATAGTGCTTTGTTTGCATAAGCAACATTATTAAACAGGTAAATGATGTCTGCTAGTGCAATCTAATATACAACTTTATTAAACAGGTAAATGATGTCTGCTAGTGCACTCTAATATACAACTTTCCAAGAGCTTACTTGCAGTGGTAGGGCCTCCACCTGTTTTGAAATTGTTCTAGGAAACGATTGCGGCTCAAACTATCTTAAACAGTTGAGGATCTCATTGCATCTGAGCATATCAGTGCCTGGCAGCTTTACCGTCCCGGCAGGTAACATTCAGGCATTAGACAGCTAACAAAACTCTTCTGCAGCCATCGCAGCTCTCCTGGGGTTAACTTGCTGTGGGGCTAGGATGAGGAAAACCAGATCTTCCTAGGCTGCAGCTCACTTGGCTGCCCTTCAGCCCACACCTGAGCTCCCCCTCCCTGGAAGAGAAACCTGAGGAAAGGCAGCTTAGCTGTGGCTGCACTGACAGGGGCTTCTTGCCAGTGGTTGCTTCTGACTATAAGTTGAGGCAGGACCAGGAATCAGTGACACTGGGAGCAGGAAGCTCAGCCAAGAAGGGAGCTCACTTTCAGTCCTAACCATCTGGGATTTTCAATTTTCTCATATGAATTGGTGAGTTTCAAAATTTTAGTCCTTAGACTGTGAGCAAAGCCAGAGTCTTGCCTGTTTACCAGCTAAACACACAGGGAAACAGAGACTGTTGAGGTGTTTGTCCAATCCCTTCTGACTATTCATAACTCTTCAACATTTTTTTTTTTAAGCTGGAACACTTGTCTGTAAACTGAGCACTTGGGAGATGGAAGCAAGTGCATCATTGGGAATTCAAGATCATCCTCACCAAACACAGCAATTTAAAGAGCAGTCTAGGTTTACATGAGACCATATTTCAAAAAAACAACAATAAAACCAAACCAAGAACAACAAGAAAGCAAGTGTAAGTGGCACAGGCCTTTAATCCCAGCACTTGGGAGGCAGAAGCAGGTGGATCTCTGTGAGTTCCAGACCAGCCTGGTCTATAAGACAAGCCTGGTCTACAAGGACAGCCTCCAAAGCCACAGAGAAACCCTGTCTCAAAACAAAACAAAAACAAAAAAACCCTACATCTTGATTTTGGATCCTTTCTTTACATCTGGAATTATCTGTTACTGAATACAAAAGCACCTAAAAGGAAAGGACCGGGTCCTGTATAATGATAGTTGAGCCCCACCCAGTGGGAAGAGAAGAAACTTCTTCCACAGTCTCGTCTCAACAGTTTTATGCTGTGGAATAGATATGATGAAGCAATGCATGAGTTGCTTACTTCTTCAGGTTTATTCTCCCTCTTTTTTGTCATCTTAATTTAGTTTTGCCTCTTTGCTTCTCCTGTAGAAAACTTTCCCCCAGTTTTGGTTTTAGATGGTTTGCCCTGGTGCATTCTGTTTATTAGAATTCCAGAATCACACTTTCTGGGTGTTATTTGGGCACAAATGTTCCCAAAATATGTAAGCACTTAAATCATTGTAAAGACAGCTGGCCATGGAGCACATCTTGCAGGCAGGTAGCCAAAACAGCACCAGAAAATAGAAGGATGAAGGATTGAACCCTACCCCGTGGCAGAATGCAGAGCCCTACTGAGATACATGGGGAAAGGAGAAGGTCCCTTATGGAGGGATCAGCCATGTTGCAAAGCCAACAACACGGACCATCAGAAGAGCAAACCCAGGCGGGAAGGGAGCCACCCACACCTGGAAGCCTGACATCAGAAATCCAACCAGCCTCCAACTGCTCTGTGAAATAAGGGGAAAGAGTGAGCCCCACACTGAAGGTACAGAGTGTCTGTGTGTCATCCTCTGAAGACATGGGGACTCCATCATGAGGGCAGTAGCGCTGGTGGCTTTGCTTTGGACACAGTCTGTAGCAGGACAGCCCATGCAAAGGCAATTAGGTGGAAATGGGGATCATTATAGCCCTTTGATTTGGTTCCTCCAATATCCGGTCAGGCAGATGAAGAAAAGAGACTGACTCTTAACTCGGAAGTAAATTGCAGGTGGAAGTATTTGGTTTCAGCTTCTTTCAGGTTGAGGCTTTCCAAAGCAGAATTTTGTGTGTTCAGGAACCCAAACATGGGACATTATTGTTTTAGAGCCCTTGCAGAGTCAGAAATAAGAAAACAGGCAGCCAAATGGAGACAATTGGTTTTAATAGGCTGCTATTCTTTACAGTGTGGTGACACTCATTCTGTGTCAGGGCTTTGAAATTGCCTGCTGGGGATCCAGCTGCTCAATCTTCACCTGCCCCCCACACACAAAGTTGTTCTTATAGAATTTATTCCTCTCCTTTATGGGTATTTTTAGGAAGTGTCAGTTTGGGGGGAAAGTCCTAAATATGAAATGTTCTAATTAATCATTTGGATCTTGCTGAGGGTGTGAGAGGGTGAAGGGTGTGGCTTCTCCCTTATTCTGAAATAGTTCTGTAGACTGATTCCCATGCTTATTCTGCTCTCCAGGGCCGTCAGGACTCATTCAAAACAACAGTCAGTAGGCGGGCTTTCAGAGGGGGAAAAATCGTTATTTAAAATTGTTTCCTTATGTCCTATAGCAGCTCTTCTTGCCATTTGTTTCTAGAGCAGCATCTGCAATGACAACTGGCTTGGTATCTATGTCAAGCCAATTCAAATATTAAATACATTAAAATGCTCTCTCCACCCTTGGCATTACTATAATTAGGGACCTGGGCAAGACTTTGCTCAACCCTATGACTTTTTTAAGCCTTGGATCCTAGGTCGGGGAAATAGGAGTTAGAAACCAGTCACTTAGGGAAAGGACCCAGTCATAGTTGGAATCACACTTGGTCTCTCAGTTGCTGCCACTGTTTGGGGAAATTATGTAACCTTTAGAAGGTGGAACCTTGTTGAAGGAAATAGGTCATTGGAGGTAGGCTTTAAGGGTTTATTGTCTTGACCCACTTCCTGTTCTTGCTTTCTTTGCTTCCTGTGTGCTGTTGATGTGATTTCTTAGCATCCTGCTCCTACCAGCATGGCTTCCCTACCATTGTGGACATCAAGCCTAAATAAGCTTTCTTCTTTAGGATGCTTTTATTAGAGTGTTTTACTGCACAACAACAGCAACAAAAAAGTAACTAATACAGACCCCAACGAATCAGCTCTACAAATGTCCCTGCTGGAGACCTGGAATATCAAAAGACAGTTCCAGTTCCTAGTCCGTTGTTATCTCTTGTCCTTGCCTGGGAGCTATAATACATGAGGATGTGACCAAAACTGAGAGCAGGCAACTGGACATCTGACTAGACCAACTGGGCCTACCAGCTTATCCCCCTCCCTATGTTTTACTCTTAAGACTTAAAAAAAAAAGAAAAGAGAAAAGTAAAAAACAAAAAAACAAACCTGGACTAGAAGCTTAGTGATACTCTATTTCTGGGACCCCTCTGTATGATATGAATATGGTTTATTACCATTGCTTAATAAAGAAGCTACTTTGGCCTATAGCAAAGCAGGATATACAGCCAGGCAAGAAATCAAAGCAGAGATACAGGGAGAAGGGCAGGGTCAGGGAGATGCCAGCAGCTGCCTGAGCACCAAGATATACTAGAGAACAAGTATTGCCTATTATATATAGATGCATGATATATATTAATAGAAATGGGTTAATTTAAGTTTTAAAAGCTAGTTAGCAACAAGCCTGAGCAATAGGCCAAACAGTTTGTAATTAATATTAAGCCTCTGAGTGATTATTTTAAAAGCAGCTGCAGGACGGGGTGGGACAGAAAAGCCTCCACTTAGTACTCTTGCTACATGGGTTCTCTCTCTCTCTCTCCCTCTCCTTTCCTCCCTCCTTGTAATCTATAAGAAACTCTTCTCTAAAATGTATACGCTACAGTTTATGAATCTCATTCTTCAAATTCTCTGGACAAAAACTCAAAAGCTACTAGCTCAGGGTGGCTTGAATGGCTGTTGAGTTTTCAGGGACCCTAGACCTCCAGGCTAAGCTCACTAAGAACTGAGAAAGTCTCTAATGTACTCAAAGATACCCCTAAATTTCCTGTATCAAAGGTTACTGTTCTCCATGTCTCATTACTTTTAAGGATAACATGGCCTGCCCAGGCTTCCATCATTGACTCCACATCTGCTGGCAAAACAGACTAGCCTCTTCTACCAGCAGGGACTCTCTTGTAGTTAAGAAAAGAGCAGAAAGACTCTGCCTCAGTTGAGGAAGGACAAACGGATTCAGACCTTACAGGATGGGACAGCTAACTTAAAGGTGTGTGCTACCATGCCCAGCTTGTATTTTCTTGTAAGTAACATTTCTTTTTAATTGAGAAAACACACAGAAAAAGTGTTCAGCTTGATGAATTTTCACTGTGAACCAACCAGAAAAACAAAGCCTAGGCCTAGAAACAGAAAATGGAAATTACCAGTACTGATAGGCCCTCTTTTCCCTACTTCTAGGTTCTTGTTGTCCCAAGGACTGCCACTAACCTGACTTCTGACATCTTGTCTTAGTTAGGGTCTCTATTGCTGTGAAGAGACACCATGACCATGGCAACTCTTACAAAGAAAACATTTAATTGAGGTGGGTTGCTTACAGTTTCAGAGATTCAGTCAATTAGCATAGTGGCATGCAGAAAGAGGCAGTGCTGGAGCTAAGACTGCTACATCTTGTAGGCAACAGGAAGTTGACACTAGGCAGTTTCCTGAGTATATGAAACCTCAAAGCCTGCCCCCTCAAAGCCCTTCCTCCAACAAGGCCACACCCATTCCAACAAAACCACACCTTCTAATAGTGCCACTTCCTATGAGATTATGAGGGCCAATTCCATTCAAACTTCCACACATCTTTTGCTTCTTTGGGAAGCTTTCACTGTGTGTGTGTGGGGGGGGGTTGTTAGGTCACAGGCCTGTCCTCTTGTCTTAGCTAGGGTCTCTTTTTCCTGTGATACAGCACAATGACCAAAAGCAGCATAAGGTGGAAAGGAATTACTTCAGATTGCAGTTCCACATCACAGTCCCTCATTGAGGGAAGTCAGGGCAGGAGCTTGAAGACAGGAACTGAAGCAGAGGTCTCAGAGGGGTGCTGCTTACTACCTTGTTCCTTGTAGTTGCCTTCTTATAGTACCCAGGACCAACCATAATGGGCTAGGCCCTCCTACATGAATTACTAATTAAGAAAACATTACAGTCTTGCCTACAGACCAATCTTACTTTCCCAACTGAGAGTTCCTCTTCCTAAATGACTTTGTCTTGTGTCAAGTAGACATAAAACTAGCCAGCACACCCCTTCCTCTCTTATTTTAAGCTATCTTTTGTAATGAAGCTTGTTTCATTCACACACACACACACACAATTTCTAAGAGAGGCTGGCAGACTCTATTGGATCTTTAGGAACTGGAGTCTTCACATGGTTGTAGGCCATCATGCTGGTGTTGGGAATTGAACCTAGGGTGGCACACACCTTTAGTCCCAGCACTCGGGAGGCAGAGGCAGATGGATCTGTGTGAGTTCAAGGCCAGCCTGGTCTACAGTGTGAGTTCCAGGACAGCCTCCAAAGCTACACGGAGAAACCCTGTCTCAAAAAAAACAAACAAAAAAAGACAACCTTGAACTTCTGATCTTCCTTTGTATTTCCATTGTAGAAGTTAGTACCATATGTGGGTCAGGGACTGGATCAGTCAAGCATCTGGACTGATTTCATTTAGATTTATTTATTTTTATTTCTCTCATTGGTATTTTGTCTGAATGTATGCCAGTGTGAGGGTGTCAGACCCCCTGGAAAGTTGTAGGCTGCCATATGGGTACTGGAAATTGAACTTGGGTCCTCTGAAAGAGTATTCATTGCTCTTAACTATTGACCATCTCTCCAGCACCTATATTTTATTTGTTTACTGGTCATTGCTGCTGTCCCCAATGAGCTTTATAGTCAGGAATATTCCTGTTTACTCCAGAATCCTTTAGTTTATGTATAAAGGAGCAGCAAAAATCTAGGCCAAAGGGTGTTCCTATTATGTATCAGATGGTGGGATAAAAGCACTGAATTCTGCAGTGCAGAACTCATGAAGCCAAGTGCTCTGCGTGGTAGTCTTAGCTCTCTCAGCTCCAGCCCCACAGTAAACCACATTATAGAAGGGAAACAGATGTGGAATTGAGTTATCCCTGCTATGATCTTAGAGCTGTCATTTTCCACTGTAATCCACAGTTTATGGGACTATTCCTCACCACAAAGGTCGGGGTCACTGACCACCATGTTGTCTACAGCCTGAGCCCCTTGCTGCCCAAACCTCTCAGTGGTCTGCATACAGCACACCCCCCAACACAACAACTGCTTCTTGTGGCTGTCTTCCACCCAGACACTGTGGGCAAGTGTCCCCATCCGCCCTGACTTGTGATTATTCTTTGGTTTCAGATCCTCAGAGTAGCTCAGTCTCAAACCATTGGCCCCATTCTTACGATGACGCCTGGCTGTGCACTGGGTGGTCTACAGAGCCCCATGGTGTGCTGCCTCTCTGATGCTGGAGGGAGACTGTCAAACTGTCACCAGTCACAGGAACACATCTCTGTACCACACTGGCAGCTCCCCGAGTTCTTTTAGAGACTTCCACCCAAGCAAAACTGCAATTCACAGTTTCATCGAAGAAATGGGTTTCAAGGCGAGCCAAATCTGAAATGAAGGTGAATATATTAGATCCAATAGGACAGGTGTGGGCTTCTTCCTCAAGGGAGAGTTACAATTAAGTTGGAGGCTCTCAAGTTATATCTCTAGAGGTTGCCAGGAAATGGCCCCTTTTATTTAGTGTAGCCAAACTCTGTAATCTGTTATAAGGTTAAAAGTTAAAGATTTTCTTTTCTCAGTAAACAAAGTTCTCTGATAGGTTCACGAGTATGTTTAGGTTTAGGGGAATGCTAAAAACTCAAGGTTATAGATCATTTTTAGCCCTAAACTAGCACATTTGTTTAATTTCAAAATATTTGGAGAGTCAGATAATTTTCATTATTTAATTAACTTATATTACAGTAAAGACATTAGAACAATTTTTAGGCTATGAAATGGTACACTGTATTATTCCAATATTTTAAATATATTGAGTTTTTTATGGTCAAACATATTAATGAATAATCCAGATATATTAGGCAACAATGTGCATTTTTCAGTCTGGGGTGGAGAACTCAATAAATGCAGTCAGGTCCATTCGTTTTACATTGCTATTTACAACTTTCTGGCTGATTCTGTGACTCTCCAATCTTTCCATTTCCAAGAGGAAGGTGCAGACACCTCCAACCATGACTTTCTGTTTAGCTACTTTTTCCTTTCTTTTGCCAGTGTTTCCTTCACTTATAATGGCTCCTACTTCTCCACATCTTTGTCAATACTTGCTACAGTCCTTTAAAGATTATTTTAGTCCTAATGAGTATAACACTGGATTTTATTGTGGGTATGATGTGGAGAATTTTTGCATCTGTTCAAATTGGGATATTTGCCTTTATGCTAATCTGGGTATTCTAAATACTAGACCTTTAGAAGATACAAAATTTGTAACTATTTGTTCTCATTCTGTGGTCTGTCTTGACATTTTATATATCCTCTAAAGCACAAATTTCAACCTTTCTTCGGTTTATATTCTATTTTTATTTTATGTATATGGGTGTTTTGCCTGCATGAATGTCTGTACACCTCTTGTGTACCTGGTGCCTGAGGATGCCAGAAGGGCTCAGATCCCTGTAGCTGCTGATTAGGTGCTGGGCATCAAGCTGGGCTTTCTGGAAGAGTGGTCAGTATTCTTAACCCTCTGAGACATCTCTCTAGCACCTGTCTTTTTTTTTCAAGAAAAAGTCTCACAAAGCCCAAGCAGGTCTTGAACCAGGTGTGGAAGCCAACATCTATAATAACCTAGCTTGGGGAAAGGTGGAGGCAGATGGATTCCTGAGGGCTCACTGGCCAGCCAGTGTAGTCAATATGGCAAGCTCCAAGTTCAGTAAGAGAACTGGTATCAAAAAATAAGGTGGAAAGTGAAGAGAAAGCTATGCAATATTGACTTCTGGCTTCACATGAGCATTTACAGGCACACACCTTCACACACATGTAAAAGCACACCACACACACCACACACGCACATACACACATGAGTGCGTGCCTTTCGTTTATTGACATTTGTGGCTCACTTCCCACATCTGTATAAACAATAAGCAATTCATGTTTATTAGAATTGTATATGTATGATAATAGAGCACAAAGAGATAGGAGACCAGCTTCCTACCTCTAAACAATGTAAAGCAGCTGTTCTTTCTTTCTTTTTTTCTTTCTTTCTTTTTTTTTTTTTTTTTTCGAGCCAGGGTTTCTCTGTGTAGTTTTGGAGCCTATCCTGGCACTTGCTCTGTAGACCAGGTTGGTCTTGAACTCACAGAGATCTGCCTGCCTCTGCCTCTCAGAGTGCTGTATTAAAGGCATGTGCCATCAATGCCCAGCAAAGCAGCTGTCCTTAAACACTTCAGACTCAAGAACCCTGTATACCCTGTAAAATTCTGTCAAGAATCCTATATAGTTCACAGAAGTAGAGAACTTTGGTTAGGAGGCAAAACGACTCTGAAAAATGCTTAAGATTAAGGAGAACCAGCTGCATGCAAACTATCTGAATTATTGCATAGAAGATAATTGACCCCAATTGATTTGTGAAAGATTTGGAAACAAAAGAACTCCAGGGAAAAACAAAACTGACTCAAGAACGGCTAAAGCAAGACAATGAGATCTGTTTCAACCAAATTACCCCTTAAAGAATATGCAAGAATATGCTCTACAAGCTAGGAAAATATTTCAATTAACATTTTCCAAGTCTGCCTTTGAGCTATATTGAACAAGCTGTAAATACACCAGATTTTTCAAATGATTTCCAATAAAACTTTATTATTTTCATTCCTCAGGCAACCTGAATTTTCATATTTTTTTGACCTAGGATTCTCATTTAGGGGTAAAAATATGTACTTTTGTAAGACCCTCAGAAAGCTGAGGCTTCCAGAATCTTAGCCCAGGACCTCGGCCACCCCAATCACAGAATGGAGGCGAAAGCTTGATGCAAATTGCATGAGGCTTTATTGTAGTTTAACGAGCTAACCCCACGTTAGCTTGGGTCTTTGATCCACCCACCATGGTGGATGGCTAGCAAAGAGGGCTCCTAGGGGCTCCCGGAAGATCTTATAGGGCAGCGTAAGGGGAGTGTCTAGGGGTACGCACAGGCTTACGCACAGGCTCACGATTGGTGTGCTTCCAGGCTTGGAGGGCTTGCCCTGTGTTGATTGGTCAACTGGTTGTTATGGCCCATAGGCCCTCCCAGGGTGGTTGCTATGCTCTCTACCTCATTGCTGTGCGCTTGTCCTTAAAGCACACCCAGGGTCGTAAAGCATAGCGCCACCAGCTAACTTCCGATTGGTTCCTTGTCACGAGACAGGCATCTGACTTTCTAGTGACTAACTTCTGATGGGTTCCTTGTCACGAGACAGGCATCTGACCTCTAAGTGACCAAGGCAGGTTTATGGCAAGCACGTGTTCGGCTGTTATGGCTGCCAAAAGGGAAGCTGGTTCCTTCACTTTAAAATAATTTTCATTACTTTTATTTATATGTATGTGCACATGTGTGGAAGTCTGAGGACAACTTGTGCGAGTCAGTTCTCTGCTTCCACCATGTGAGACACTGGGATCGCACTCATCAGAGTTAGCTACAATTACCTTTCTCTGATGACCCATCTCTCCAGAACCATCAGGACAGATGGAAATCTGAAGTTTTTAAATCTGAAGGGGCTGGAGAAATGGCTCAGCAGTTAAGAGCACCATTAGCTGCTCTTCCAGAAGAAGAGCTCAACTCCCAGCAACCACGTGGTGACCACAGCCATCTGTGATGAGATCTGGTGCCCTCTTCTGGCATGCAGGCATACATGCAGGCAGAATACTGTATATGTAATAAAAAACAAAAACAAAACCAAAAAAAACCCCTTAGGGCTGGAAACATGGTACAGTGGTTAAGAGCACTAACTGCTCTTCCAGAAGACCGAGGTTCAATTCCCAGCACCCACATGGCAGCTCAACTATCTGTAACTCTAAGATCTGACAACTTCACATAGACATACATGCAGGCAAAACACCAATGCACACAAAATAAAAATAAAATATATATATTTAAAAAAAAAGAACCAGAAAATCTTAATTCAGGCGGGGGTGGTGGGGCGGTGGAGCACGCCTTTAATCTCAGCACTTGGGAGGCACTTGGGAGGCAGAGGTAGGTGGATTTCTGAGAGTTCAAGGCCAGCCTGCTCTACAATGTAACTTCCAGGACTGTTACACAGAGAAACCCTATTTTTGGGAAAAAAAATCTTAATTCAGAAAGCTGATCATGTATAAACAAGTTGCGAGCGCTCACGTGCACACACACACACACACACACATTTTTCAAAAGGACACACATCTTCAACACTTTTATGAGGTAAAACTGGGTATGCTCACGATAACCTTTAACTTGTCTGTAGGGAGACACTGTAGCCCGGCCTCCTAGTAGCCTCGAGCTACTACTGTGTCAGGGCTTTGTTTATCTGAATAAAGAAATTTTAGCATGCTCCACTGGCTGCGCTGCAGCCCCCTCCCCCCCCTCCTCCGGGGCAGACTCTGGCAGCTCTCTCGCCAGAGTCCTCCAGGACTTGAAGGAGAAGAAGGAAGTTGTGGAGGAGGCAGAGAATGGAAGAGACGCGCCTGCCAATGGGAATGCTAATGAGGAAAATGCGGAGCAGGAGGCTGACAATGAGGTAGATGAAGAAGAGAAAGAAGGTGGGGAGGAGGAGGAGGAGGAAGGTGACAGTGAGGAAGAGGATGGAGATGAAGATGAGGAAGCTGAGGCTCCTACGGGCAAGCGGGTAGCTGAAGATGATGAGGATGTTGACACCAAGAAGCAGAAGGCCGATGAGGATGACTAGACAGCAGAAAGGAAAAGCTAAACTTAAGGCCACCGTGACCTAGTCACCCTCCACTTCCGGTCTCAGAATTTAAACGTGGTCACCTTCGAGTAGAGGAGCAGGCCCCGCCCTTAGCGGGCAGTGCCACCCACAGATGACATGCGCTCTCCACCACCCCACCAAAACCACACCATGAATTTGCAACAGGGGAGGGAAAAAGAACCAAAACTTCCAAGGCCCTGCTTTTTTTCTTAAAAATACTTTAAAAGGAAAATTTGTTTGTATTTTTTATTTACATTTTATATTTTTGTACATATTGTTAGAGGGTCAGCCATTTTTAATGATAACGGGTGACCAAACCAGCCTTCAGAGCGTTTTCTGTCCTACTTCTGACCTTATTTGTGGTGTGACCATGTTCATTATAATCTCAAAGGAGAAAAAAAAACTTGTAAAAAAACAAAAACAACAAAAACCAATCTTATTCCGAGCATTCCAGTAACTTTTTTTGTATATGTACCTAGCTGTACTATAAGTAGTTGGTTTGTATGAGATGGTTAAAAAGGCCAAAGATAAAGGGTTTCTTTTTTTTCTTCCTTTTTTTTTTATGAAGTTGCTGTTTTATTTTTTTGTCCTGTTTGATGTATGTGTGAAACAATGTCCAACAATAAACCGGAATTTTATTTTGCTGAAAAAACAAAAAAAGAAATCTTAGCATTATGGATCATCTTTGAGTGCACGCAATACATGTCATGAGTCTGCTGGCCATAATATAACTCTATGTGTGGTTCTCCCTCCCACCAAGAGTAGGTCTCCAACTTTATAAGGTGGCACTTTGTTTTTACTTTTAAGTTAATAAAATATTAAAATTTATTATTTATAATTCAATTAACTTTGACACAAACTAATGAAAATCCATGGCTACTAATGCAGTTAGTATTAAACATTAACTATGTTATTTTATAAAACCCTAGACTTTGCCTTTTCCCTTCAGATGGGTGAGTCCCACAACTCTACTGGCAGTGGATGGACTCTGGGCTCTCCATACAGACCATGATACCCTGTGAACAAAAGGTAAAATATGTTCCTATCTGTGGACAGTATACGTAGTCTCAGTGATTGTCTCTTCAGACAATGATCAAGAGAGCTCTTTTCTCTGTGGAATTGGAGCATATCTGATATTCATTTATACAAGAGGTAATTATTATATATTCACAAAACCCACAAATGAGAAGCACTAACCCCACAAAACTGAGGTCCATTAGTGAATACTGTTGGTAGGATTTAATAAATTTGCCTCAGGAAAGTCAAAGAGTTAAAAAGGGAATCAAGTCAAAGCCATGTTTCAGCCCAAGCAATACTTGATAATGAGAATTTTTTTGTTTCTGAAAATAAATAGGGTTTCTTCAGTCTGGTTATATGAGTGTGTCACAACACAACGGGTGTTTAGGCTGTTATTAAATAAGAATAATTGACCTTGAAATTTTCATTCAGTGGAAAACATACATTGAGCTGTATAGTAGGCACAGTAGAGAAGAAAGTCAGTCCCAACCTTCCAGAAGCTTGGGTAACAGCAGCAGCCACAGTTTTATAGACCAAGTATAGCAAGTGTTTTCCCAGTTTCTGTCAGTAGTGCAGGAAAAGGAATGGAGGCCGTAGACAGACAGCAGCGGCAACACTGGCTGTGCTTCTGGAGTATTCAGGGCTGTAGGGGCAAAGGGCGTTGAGATTGGCTCCAGACATAAGGATTAGTCATGTTCTTTCCCACAGAAGCTTTCGGGAAGGATTTTCTTGTACTTCTGAAAAGTTATTTGCAATTAAAACATTACTCCAAAGCCCATATTTTTGGCAATTTACCAAAGATACCTTCCATTTACAAATGTATAATTCCTTAATTTAGAGCTTTAGATTTAATGATGAGGGTGTGAAAATGTAAGCTGTTCTTTGACCATGATGAATAAGTCTTTCAAACAAATGTCCATTCAGAGACACTTTTCTGTGAGTTCACAACCAGCCTGGTCTACAAGAGCCAGTTCCAGTGAAAGACCCCCAAAGAGGTACTTTCGTAGGAGGAGACCCCCGTACTCAGGAACCAACGAGACCACAATCTTGGATGCAAAACCGCAAGAGGCTTTATTGGAGATACGGGTACCCGGGCGACTTAGCTTCTGTGAGGCCAAGCGCCCCGAGCCAAGGGAGAGGTGCCTTTTTATAGAAAAAAACACAAGCGAGGAACAGGGATTCTATTGGATGGTTCAAATGAGGCACAGAGCCATTCCAGATCAGCATATTCTCAAGGTCTGGTGTCTGGTACAACAGACTTGATTCCTCCCTCAGCGCCCAGGTGGCTGACCTTGGGACGAAGGTTCCCCATCGGGGGGGCGTGGGGGCGGGGGTGCCCTCTCCCCGATCGGCCCCAGCCCCGGGGCGCGGCGCCCGGCGGGGGGGCCTGGGTC